CATTTCTTCTACAATTTCCATCATGCTCCAACCCCGATCCCCAATGAACTTTTCTACAGCACAGATTTTCCCTTCCTCTTCTTCTGCTACAGTCAAGTGGTCACGCGATCTAAAGTCGCGTTGCTGCTCGCTGCGTGGTCTTGTTTTGCCCATGAGATCATCGTTTGCTCCGATACCATGTTAGTTTTCTAGTTAAACGACATACTCTGTTTCCCCTAACTACTACTTTTTCATTTTCTCCATGTAAATATATACAAGTCTTGTGTCCGCTCGGGAATGTCCATCAATGTTAAAAAGCCTGAGCGATCTCATCCGCAAGGCTGTTGGATCGGGGGTCACTTTTCTCGACACTTCTGATGTCTATGGACCGCATACCAACGCGGAAAGGTAAACGCAATCGATGAAAATGTGTGGAAGTTCTCACTAATTCGTGGCAGGCGATCAAAGGAAAGGTCCAAATCGCGACCAAGTTTGCAGTAGCTTTCCACGATGGAAACTGGAACAGCAATGTCAAGATTGGAATTCGGGGGGACATGTTCGTGCTGCTTGCGAGGCCAGCTTGAAGAGGCTCGAGATCGACTGCATTGATCTCTACTATCAGCACCGGGTCGATCCCAAAGTTCCAATCGAAATCACGGTAAGAGTTGTATAGAACTTTGTGTCTAACTTATATCGATTGCTCCGTGAAGGTGGGAGCGATGAAAGAGCTCGTCAAGGAGGGAAAGGTGAAGTACTTGGGGCTCTCGGAAGCATCAACCGCTGATATTCGTTGAGCTCATTCGGTTCATCCCATCACCGCTGTTCAGATCGAGTGGTCTCTTTGGACCCGAGATGTCGAGGAGGAGATCATTCCAACTTGCAGGTAACTTGTCGTCTCATTCATTAAGATGGTCTTTCTTGTAAAACTCAAGGGAGCTTGGGACTGGCATTGTTAGCTATAGTCCACTTGGACGAGGCTTCTTCTCAGAAAAGGCTGTGGTGGAAGAGATTGGCAATGACGATTTCCGCAAAGTAATGTTCTTGCAAGAAGCTTGTAAAGTTCTAAAGCGCTTGTCTATTTGATATAGACAAGGTTCCAGGGAGAGAACTTGGCACGCAACAAGATTTTGTACGAGAAGCGCGAGGAAGAAGTGCAGTCCCGGGCAGCTTGCTCTTGCCTGGGTCCAACACCAAGGCGACGACGTTGTTCCCATTCCAGGCACTACCAAGCTCCAAAACTTCGAAGAGAACCGAGCTTCTCTCCGAGTCACTCTCTCCAAGGAAGATGTCGACGAGGTCGAGAGGGTAGTTTCGGTTGATTCCGTCAAGGGAGAGAGGTACAGCGACGTCCATATAACCAATACATGGCGTTTCACTTCCTCGCTGCCTCTCTCGGCTTGGAAGAGTAGCGCTTGGAACTCACTAAACAATAAAGGAATTTCGAATGTTTAAAGGAAAGTCATCGAAGCAGTCTCTTTCCTTTTAGCATCGCAAGGAGATGATCCAAGACTCGATAGCCATCTTCACGGAGTCCAGAGTGCATGAACTCGTTAGTGATCCACAGCCTTATTCCTGGTATGGACGCAGCCGTCGCCTCTGACAAGTTCACATTTACGTACATGTCTTCGTAATACACCGCTGCTGCGACGGGCACCTGAACGACACAGCCAAAGAATGTCTTTTGCGCAAAAGGAGAAAAGAGAAAAGAAAAAGTGCACCTTGTTAGAGCGTAAAACCTCATGGTTGTAGAGAACTGGCCAATCTTGTTTCTCAGCTAGGAGGTTTGCAGCCTCCTTTAGAGGATGCAACGGTTTTATCTCGTCAAAGATCCATGGATACACCATCTGAGACCAGTGTTCGCGAGGAAATCAGCAGAAGAAGACCAATCATACCTCTCCCGTGAAAAGAACGGGCTCGCTATGGTTTGCAGCAAAGACCGGATCAAACTGCTCACCCAGTTCATCTCTTACTCTTTGTGCTGCCCAGTTTGATGCCGCACCCTGAAGCATGACAACATCACGCTATTGGCACCTCCGGAGAACTGCATTTGCCCGACCTACCTGGCAGTAGATAGGCTCGTGCATCAGTGCATATAAAGGATTTGTATCGAAATCCAGCCAGTTCTCAAACTATACATGAAGTAGTGTTAAAACAAAAAGCGTTTTGAGACAAAAGGCTGATTACCGCTCGAAGAAATGTGTAGCTAAGCTGCTTGCTAATGCCAGGTACAAGAACAGGATCCCATGCTCGCTCCAACCTAAAGGAAATAAAAGAAAAATAAATTAGAGTGACTGAAGGAAGAAAACATAAAGAAAAGAAGGAAAACGAAAAGCGCAGCGCTCACGTGAAGTGAAGCTTTTCAAAGCCAGAGTGTGATCCCAATCCTGTCAAGCCAAGCAACTGAAAGCTCCTTGGTGTGAGCTTGCCACCAGATGGAAGAAGCACCTATCACACACTTTATATAAATATAAATGGCAAGAAAAGATCGACTCACCCCTCCACCTTCGCTACTTGCCAAGTGTAAAACAATCTCCCGGACGAGCTCTTCATCCCGAGGGAAACGCTGGTAAAACTTCATGTTTTGGAGCAGGACACGCTTGTAGCAAGCACGATACACGGCCTCGGCAGTGCATCCAGCGTCAATAGGAGGAAGACCGCCCGTGAGTAGCACTTGCTCCAGGCCGGATGGTGCCATGCTTAGATAAGTAACGGCACAGAAACCACCATAGCTCTGGATAGGAAAATCATTTCAAGGTTGGCGTTGCAAGTGTTTAAAAAGCGAGAGCTTTACCTGACCAAGGAGAGTCCAAGGCTCTCCGTGTGGCACAAGGCTCTTTCGAATCATCTCCGCGTCTCTGACGATGTTATCTGCTCGAAAATGCTGGAGGTAGGATGCCTGTGCCTGGGGGCTCGAAAGTTGGTTCAGCGATCCAACAGTCAAGGCGGTAGAAAGCCCAGTTCCTCGCTGAAAGAGATATCAAACACACAGGAATAAAATGAATGAAACCTGATCTAGAAGGATGACTCGAAAGTCCTCGCAAGCTCTTTTCAGCCATCCACTGCACTCCAGCGGACGAAGGGATTCAAATCCGGGACCCCCTTGCAAGAAGAGCAAAAATGGCAGGTCTTTCTCCTCGTTTCCAACTGTATTGTAAGTTTCTCATTTTGAGATCCAGAGCTGATATGTTTTTACCTGAGACGACTTCTCGAGCGAAGACTGAGATTGTCGAGTCGGAAGGAGCAGCATAATTGAGAGGAACTTCGAAACGATGATCGCGAAGGTTGAGCTCGGGTACTTGATACCACGCCCCTGTATTACCGCTTGTTCTGGAAACTAGTAGAACCATACGCATACACGGGAGTTTTCAGCACTTACCCAGAACCCAATGCGGAAGCTCTACGCTTGGTCGGGAGAGAAGACGAGCTGCAAAACCAATGAATCAATTTGCAAGGAAAAGAAGGAAATCTTTACAGGAGAGATGATGCATTGGCCATGCTCGCGCTCGCTTCCATACGCGGTATCACCCTTCCTGAGGAGACCTAAGGTTCTAATGGAAACACGAGCTAGATAAGTGCGAGAAAGAACTTTATCAATAGAAAAGTATGAAAACTCTCTATACACAGATTCTGCAAGAATGTGAATGGCTATGTAGCATCTCTATAAACAGACAGACACAAAGAAAATAACCTTAGGAAGATCTCCAGTTGGACGGAGAAAGCCCAAGCTTGGAAGATTTTCCTCGCGCATCATCGCCCTGGACGCAGCACAAGGAAAGCGAAAGTGAGGAAAACATCACCACCAACGGGATGAAGATTTCTCACCTGAGACGCAGGCTTCTTTGGTGGCTTGGAGAGCTGCGACTGCACTGCTTGGCGGTGGAGCCTGTGCTGGTGTTGCATCAGCTCAAATTGCTGCAACCTCATCGTGAAGTTGATTCCACCGGGCCCGCTGTTGAAGTCGGACACCTTGTCCCCGTCGTCTCCAGTTGGATAGTGAGCCAGGTACGGTACTGCCGATACGGATCTACGCCCTGCATTCAGTCCAGCAAGCTCGGCCGCCGGTGTTGCTTGGATGTGCATGGGAGCGTACGCCGGGATGGTCTTCAGTCTCGTTCGCAATATCTTGAATGCAGAGCTTTGCTGCATCATCAAACTGCATGCATTAAATCGAATGCCAATCATGATCAGTTTGCCAGAATTCATTTTCTGTACCCACCTGAGGGAGTAGCATGAGCAGCCCGTAGAGCGTCTTCAGCAACGAGGGATAGCGCGCTGGTTCTAGCAACTGTCATACACAAGCGTTAGAAAATGGCCAAGTGGTAGTAAAACGATTACCTGCAACCTCAAGTAACCGAAGATTGGAGTTTCCAAAAGCCGTACCAGCTTATCCACCTGAACTAGAAACTTGACGTTGATGTCCGACTCCCCGAGAGATTGGATAACTGCGCTTGCATGGTGGTAAGCCTGCAAAGCATAATCATGTGTTTTGGAACAAGAAGTTGGACAGGACATTACCTGAGCAAGTAAGCACAAGCTAACAGTAGCCATCGGCGAGTGACACCACGATGAATACAGAGCAACAAAAAGATCTTTTCCTTGCGAATTTGTCAACGACTCCTTTAGCAGTGCCCTTAAATCGGCAAGTTCTGAAGCCGTGAGGAGAATTAAATTAAGTGCCTGTAAGTGTACATGCATAAGTTCGCTGAGAACGCAAACTAGATACTGATACCTGGACCATAACGGTTGCAAATTCTAAGTCCGCCTCGCCTTCCAGGATAGTTGCCAACTCTCTGTATACAGTCTCGGCGTCAAGAAGGACGCAGAGACGTCGCAACGCTAAGGTTCCTCTCCTGAAAATTTAATGCTGGTCACGAAGACTGTTTAACTATTGACTTCGTAAAGTACCTTTCAAGCAGAAGATTGTCCATTTGAAATTTATGTACAAGAAAGACCATCAAACGCCGAAATTGTTGTGTATCCCGTGCTATACAAGCTTGAACCTCCAGAACCAGCAACACAACCTGTTAACAGATACATTTTAGGTGACAAACATACAAAAACAAATGCAAATGCTTACATCATCAGATTCGTCCGACAAAGACTGAAGCAATGCAGGAAATATTTCGTCAAGAAACGATAGAACCTGTTAAAATGTTAGCAACTACTGTACAGAAAAGAAAACTCCAAGTACCTCTGTTCTATGTCTCTCAAGAAGAACAAGCATCCACCGCAAGGCTTCCAATCTTGTGGCTTCAAACTCGCTTCCCAACTCCCTACACAACTATTTTGTTCAAGTCCAAGTTTTTAGAAACGAGAAAGATTACCGTCTAGCTGCATTCAGAACTGATCCAATGTCTATCACTTCAACTGGTTCAGCACGAATGGCTCGAAGCTCTTCGTTTGTTTCACGAGCAACCTTATAATCAAATGTTTTTAGCGTATTATGTTTAGTTAAAGAGCTCAATCTTACTGCTCTGATTTTTTCTTCCTTGTCAGAGATTGCTGGTAGAATGGCACCCAAAATCTCCGCATAGAATGTCACAAGCTGATCCCCTCCAAGTTTCACAAATTCGCTCATCTGAAATATTTTTAAGTAACTACTAAAGAAACGATTGACGTTTCATACCCATGTTATGGATGTTAGACGAGTGAACTCATCAGGTGATCTAGCTCTTTGTACAAGTATCGCAGCCATGCGAACGTAATCCACGGACTAAATATTTAAAAACTCACGGTCAAGAATGATAATGCGTTTTAAAAACAAAAGGCTTACAGGAGCATTCTTAATTTCTTGCAAAAACTCGGACAATGCAGAGTCGGCTTGCTGCCTGATCTCGTGACTGTTGTCGCTAAGCATGTTGAACAGACCTACATGCAAAGGGTTACAAAACTAAAGAGTCGACTATGATGTTACCGTCGAGAAAGTCTGGCAAGAACTCCAGCATATCAATGTCCGGGACGCTGTCCAATACAGTGATCCATCCCACGAGAAATTGTCGGACAAACGGATTGAGCACGTTCATTCGCTCCCTCAATAGCGGAATAAATTCTTCAATGCTGAGCAGAAAACATTTAGCCAAGAACCAAAGCGTTTTGACTACCTGAATTGATCACTTTCCGTCACAATATCCTGAGCATAAAAAAATATCAAAAAATAAAAGAAATGAGTTCTCTTAAGAAATTATAAGAAATTAAGAGATTGACGAAATTACCTTGACAAGACGATCCAGAAGATGAGCTGCACTTTGAACATTAGGATCTGAATCCGCCGAGAGCTTGCAAAGGGCATCGAATATTTTGTTGAAGAAAACAATTAAGTCACCTCTCGACACCTAGATACCTACCCTGAGTTAGCTCCAAGCACAGAAACCTCATGATGAAAAGTAAGATGTACCTTTGCTATGTTGTAAAGTGCCTCACATGCGTAATATCGCACCCGACTGTCTTGATCCGTGAAAGAAATCAAAACAGGCGGAACAATTCTCTGCAAAATAGTCATTCCTTTGAGCAAAAAAAAAAGAAAACAACTTCTTTCGTTCTATATCGCAAGGGAGAAGAACTCAATACTTACATCAAGATACTGGGCAGACTCGGAGGCCAAGCCAACAGTAGCAGCCGCCAATCCAATCAGCCCCCCCTGGCATAAGAGAAAAAACTAAGAAAAAGCGGTCGTCTCACTCTCACATACCTTTCGGTGATTGGCTTGTGGCGATAGAGCATAGTCATTGATTAATATCGATATGACGGAGGATATCTTCTCATGGTCGCCGGAACTAACTAGAGATTTCAGGACCCCTTCCACCTGATGAACAATCTATTGTTAAATTTTAAAGGAAGGAAAAGGGATACAATCTCACCTCAAGAGCAGCGATCTTTCGCTTCTCGTAGAGCTTGTCCGAGAGATTTCGCAACACGGACGCCTGGAGCAAAGCTGACACGTCCGACATCGTTGTCTGGGTTAAGAATTTTAATAAATAAGCATCGCGGATAGAGTTCTAAAGATACAATGCAATCGCAAAGAGAGGAAATTTAGAAAAAGGGGCTCACTCACCGTTCTCGTCCTCAGCTGGAGAGCGAGCTCGTCCCCCAAGCAGCCACCACAAGTCTAGCATCCTGCGCTCCTTTGCAATGGCGACTTCCGGCGCTGCGATTCCAGCTCCTCCTCATCGTCAATCACTGATCCAGCTCCATAGCTCGCGGGCGAGGCGAGAATTCGATGGCAGCGCCACGGCGCCTCGATCCACTGGCGAGGCGAGGCGACCAGAAACCCTCTCAGAAATAAGACAAGCCCTAATTACAGTACAATATTTGGGCCTTTACGTGGATTTTGGACCATGGCCAAATCCAAAAACCTGGGAACATTCCAAGCAGTTGCTCAAATAGCCTAGAACGCATCGTTTTACTTTTTGTGAACGGCAGAACAGCCATCCTGTGAAAAACATCGGCGTTTGGACAAAGCACAAAGAAGAAGAAAACTAAAAACTTTGATCGAGCTTTGGTACCTCGGAGCAATTGACGATCCCAAATTCGAGGCCGTCAACGAGCGCCCGGAAGCTGGCTTCTACGATGGATGTGTGAGCACCAACCTGGGAACAATGAAAGTGATTGAGCATAAACAATGAAGAACACTTGCGTTTGAATGAGACTCACGGTCGTCCACTTGTTGCCAGAAGCATCCGTGAAGTCAACTGTCACTCGCGTCGTTGAAAGGGTCCCCTTGTGAGCAGTCGATGGCTCCACTAGATGGACGTGATAGTCCGCGAGCTCCACTTGCTCGAGTTGCGGGTAGTGCTTCTCGAGCGCGCTCCTGGAATCACGAGCAGGACAATGTAAGTTGCAAGTATGCGATCGATCGAGAATTCTCCACCTTAAAGCGTGACTGAGAGCATCCACTGGACCGATCCCTTCCGCTGCGCTTACCTGAGCCGGAAGAGCAAATCTTTCAAGTTCATGCTTTTGTACAAGTTGTATGCATACCTGACTTTTGCCACCGACGGAGAGCTTTACCATCGCCTGGTTCACTTGACTGTCACTTCCACACCACGCGAGCCAGTTATCTTGTTGGATCTGCGAGTTCCCGTTGCTACTAGTGGAATGCACGCCGCGGTTGCTCGAAAGCACCGTGAATTCCAAGACTTGAAAGCTGCGAGGAAGAAAGTCACTCAGAATGAATTTGTCAGTAGATCCTTACGGCTGCTGGTAGCGCTTTCCCTTTCGAACAATCAGCATATCAACAGAGGCACCAGCGTTTTCAAAAGCACATCCCTGCAACTCAAACTCTGTTAAAGATGAGAGTAAAAGCTGTGAAAAAACTTGCGTACCTCTCTTTCCATTTGTTTTATGTGCGCAAGAACACTTCCGGCGACATCGTTGTCCAAAACAAGTCCAGCTTTTTCAGCCTGAGAGCTCTCAGATTGTTAAAACGACTAATGAAAAACTTGTTGCTTGCTAACCTTATCAAGTATATTGCCTTTGCCAGATAGCTCACTCACGACTGAACGCATGGCATTTCCAACGAGAGTCGGATCCATATGATTATAGCTCTCGGGCATCTGTACGGCAATACGCGTGTTTCTTAAACTTTTCTTTCGAGAAGAAAGGAAGATGATTTTCTCACCCTGCGTATCGCCGCAACATGGATTCCACCTTTGTGAGCGAAGGCCGCCGAGCCAACGTACGGTTGCGTTGGTGACATTGTCTGCTTTGTAACGTCCGCGACAGTGGACGCCAGCTTGGAAAGATTTGCAAGAGATTCGGGAGGGATACACGTAAATCCCATCTTGACTTGAAGCCCGCCGATCACGCTAATCTGCGAACAACGGCACAAAATAGCTTAGTATTTTCAAGTACAAGTTCCAAGAGCATACGTGCCAGATTTGCATTTCCAGTTCGCTCCCCGTAGCCATTGACGCATCCTTGAACTAGCGATGCCCCACCTCGCACAGCTGCCAGAGAATTGGCAACAGCGAGTTCCGTGTCGTTGTGTGTGTGTACTCCTATACGGACATGTGGCCAGGGCATCAACTCTGCTTTAACAGTTCTTGTCACCTCCTGTGATGTTTATTTGTTCCAGGGAGAAGTGAGAACTCCTTTTCAACTAGCCGAAAAGATGGATACCTCTACAGTCCAGGGCATGGACCCTCCATTGGTGTCGCACAAGACGACTACATCAACTCCAGCCTTCACCGCAATTTTCAAGCACTCTAGCGAGTAAGCTCTGGTGAAAAAGTACGAGCGCTTAGCAACGATTGTTAACAGAAAAGCGTGGTACCTGTTTGCTGTAAAACCATCAAAAAAATGCTCAGCGTCAAGCATTACCTCCTTGCTTCGGACCTGAGATTGTTCTTAATACATGTGTGAACGGAGGAATCAACAACTGCAGGCCGAAGTTTCTCACCTTAAAATACGAAATAGTTTCCGCGACCATTCTCAAGTTTTCTGCTAGTGTTGTTTCGAGTACTCTTGTCACCTGTACGTCCCACGCCTGACCATATCAAATATGTGAGACCACTCGGGCGCGAAAAGAACGAAGAAGGTTCTACTCACCTTTGCTACCACCGTGATAACCTCTGCCTCGCTAAAGAGTAATGCTTGCACGTTAGTATCCTGTCCAAGCAATCAGAATTTCAGAGTCCACGCAATTTTGGCGAGCAAACCTCTTCGCAAGTCGAGTTTTTCCTTCTAGTCGAACCAAATGCCGCAAGCTTCGAGGACTGCCCCTTCAGAATGTTGTCCTTACAAAGCTTGAAAAACTCTGCGTCTTTTGGATTTGATCCGGGCCATCCTCCCTCGATATAATCCACACCTTAACACATACAACTATCTCAACGTACTGCATCGAGTGAGAAATAGCCACGGAACTCACCAATGTCCGCGAGAGCTTTAGCAATCTTTAGCTTGTCATTTAGAGTCAAGGAAATTCCCACCATCTAAAGAAAAAACACTGTGGAGTTTCCAGTCAAGGACGAAAATTTAACGACCTCACCTGAGCGCCATCTCGTAGTGTAGTGTCGTAAATGCTTACTGAATTGCTCAACGCTTTCTTTGATTGAAGAGCTGTCGCAGTGCTGGGAGAAAACTACGCAAGCAAAACATCGTAAGAAAATATCAAAACTCCAAAGGAAAATTTTCTACACACCGATTCCGAGACAGAGCAAACAATCCTTAGCTTCCTGGCAAGACAAAAAAAAACACACATCAAAATATCACATAGCGGACCTACATTTCGATAGAAATATCCATGAAAGCATGAAAAGCATTTCGTTCCTCCAAGCGACCGATCCAAAACCCCTAAAACCCTGGAGGCTGACCTTTGGACGTGGCAACGAGGCACGAAAAAAATCGGAGTGGCGGCGATGAGGGGGCGCTGGCAATGCTGGTGGCGATGGCCTCCTCCGCCGCCGAGCGCCGCCAACTCATGCCACGAGGCCTCCATCGCGCCTTGAGCCGCCTGTGATAGCATAATCCTGCGGCCAACGGCCGAGATTGGACAAAATTTTCAAATCGGACGGCCCAGATTGCAGTGACATTGGATAGAAAAGAAAATCCCCCTAGTAGCGATCAAAGAAACCTTGCACTAGAGAAACCAGAAATTTAAAATGGGTTTATAGGAGGATCTGGTTGCGTGAACTTGGGAAGAGCTCCTCGTTACTCTCGTGTGGCGACCAAGGATGAACCGAGCTCACCACCTCTTTGATGCCAAAGTCCGGCCTCACGCTTCTCATGGCCTCCACACCCAGCTGGTAAATCTCCTCCGAGTTGCTCGTGTCGTGGAGATACTCGTCCCCGTTCCACTGGAGCGACTCCAGCGCTTGCACCACCGTGACGGCGGAAGAGGAGGATCGGATCGACTTGACGATGAGGCCGAGAGCGCGGACGAGATTGTTGGCGATCCTGGCCTTGAAGACTTTGCCACCTTTGCAAAGCTTGCCCTCTTCATCGTACAGCCGCTTCCTGTGATAGATCTTGAGCAAGTTCCTCACCTCGCCCGCCTCCGAGTTCCTGCCGGCATCGTCCACCAGGATGGTTCTCTCCAGATCCAGCCCCTCCCTCAGCCCCTGGAGCGTTTTCTTGTTTCCGCGGGTCACGCTGTACACCACCATCTCCTCGCTCATCTTGAATCCCAGCTCTTCCTCGAGGGCAACCGCGAGCTTCTCCATGAGGTTCTCGTTGCGCTGCTTGGAGCCGCAGCTGTAGAAACCGATTCTTGTCCCAGGAATCCTGGCCAGAGCTACGACGAATTCCAACGCACCGTGAGCGAACTTGTATGAGCCGACCAGCGCCTTGACAGGAACCTTGATGTCGTCGCCGATGGACACCAGGGTATCATCCAGATCAATCAGCAAATCCAGGCGCCCTTCCATTTTGCTTAGGGCTTCTTTCCTTCTCCAGCTCGAGCTAGCTTTCTTTTTCAAGTGTTGAAAGAACAAAAGATATATTATAAATTAGCAAAGGTTGCTGGGATTTCGATCAAAATCCCTTCAAACCTTTGCAGGCCCCGCTAAAAAAAACTTCAGCGATGGAAAGGCTGATGGAAATCCTGCTAGCCCAGCCCCGAGCGGCAATCCCACCGCCAAACATACATGGAACAAGATCGCCGCAATTCTGCTCCTGCTGAGGAGCTTGACGAAGAACTCGGTGAAGAAGTGCGTGCAGGCATGGAGCACGCACGAGAGTAGCCACACCACCATCCAGTTCCATCCCTGTCCCCCCAAGAGGTCGATGATCGCTCTCCCGACCAAGCCGATGAAGGAGCCCCCCACCAAGAAGATAGTCATCGGCATTGCGTTCTTGGAGGAGCTGAGCGTCTTCTTGCAGACGAAGAGGAGGAGCACGCACAGCAGCAGTCCAACAATCCCTCCAGCACACCCCCTGGCGATGCAAAGCAAGTAGCCGGTGTTACTTGTTATCGATCCAACGAAGTTCCAATGGTACCATGCCTGGCAAAGGAAACGAATGTGAATCAAAGCCAACAAAGAGAGGAGAAAAGCTTACAAACCTTTTTAGTGACTGTAGGTGTTGCAGCACACGAGCTGCTCAGCGTTTTAAACCACTCCGGAAGATTCTTCCACACGCAATACCCCGTGAACCCGAACATGATCAGCAAGCCCGCGACGAAGTAGTCGGACGTGGAGCTCCGAAAGTCGGCACAGTCGGCGGCCACGGCGTCTCGTTCAGCCTTGGAAACATTGAACTTGAGCGTGCTCCTGTTCACGTCCAGCGTCTCCCTGCCGATGTCGATCGCTTCGACTTGCATGTCCAGCTCTCGCTCCTTGAGCTGCAAGCCCTTCATCGCACAGACGAGCTCCATTTCCTTGAGAGAGTTGCTTCGCCTTTGCTCGATCAGCGTCTGTTGTCGAAGTGACAACGCGTGCGAGATAGGCCTCGACGCCGGTCCGAGGCGGCCGCAGCTGCTCGCCACAGTAAACGTCACAAGCTCTCCTGTTCCACCAGAGTCTTCCTCTTCCTCCACGAAGTACTCCAGTTCCTCAACTTCATGCTGTAACACTTTTACGTATCCACCTTCCACGGTTGACTCTGAATCTGAATCTGTGGCCTCTACCTCCGTATCTGCGACCTCTTTTTCCGGACCTGTGACCTCTTTCTTCGTATCTGTGACCTTTTTCTCCGGCTCCACGGTCGGCGCTTTCTCCAGATCTATGATCTGCGGCGGTCTTGTAGCCCCTGATTGCTGGGAAGCTTTCATAAACTCCCGTCTCAAGTGCTGGAAAGCTCCACACGTATGCATGCCACCTTCTTTTACTGTCACCTGATCCTCACTGCTCGATCCATCCTCCCATTCGTCACTTAGACTCAGACCATCGATGGATAGAACGTCCTGAGATCCGGCTTCTTCCACGACTCCATGAAGTGACAGACCGTCTCCAGCTTCCCGAGCTGCACGAAAGCTTCCACTCCGGCAGGAAAGGCGTACGTTGGGATGTGGCTGCCTTTCCTTTTCCCGCTCTCTGTCAGCAAAGATACTGATACTGCTACTGAAGCTCGGATCCCCGCGTTTCGTCTTCAGTTCCGCTCTCCGCTCGTCGACATCTGGATTGGAGCTCCGATCCCCGCGTTTCTTCTTCAGTTCCGAGACTCTCCGATCGTCGACATCTGGACTGGAGCTCTGATCCCCGCGTTTCTTCTTCAGTTCCGAGACTCTCCGACCGTCGACATCTGGACAGGAGCTCTGATCCCCGCGTTTCTTCTTCAAATTTGAATACCCCGTCGAGAAGGAGTCGACCAGGTTTTCTACGATGGACTCCATCGTCTCCATGTCCGAGCTCACTTGGCACAAGTGCCCACGCGCTAAAACTCCCAGCAGCTCCGCTAGGAAATCCACCCCATCGTTGTCGCGGGACTGGAAAATAAAAAAGAAAACAAAAGAATCAACAACAGAAGAAAACAAAAGGATCGCAACAAGAAGTTTACAAGGGCATTTTACTTACCACTGCGAGAAGCGTGGCCATACTCTTGCCCAGCGCGTCAATGACGCCTGGATCCATCGCTGATACCCTAAACCTCAAAGTAAAAGGAAACTGCCTTAAAAGGAAATTCGTACACATATTTATAGGAACACAGTTGTTGAGAGCGGGATTCGAACCCGCGCCCTTCCGGACCAGAACCTTAATCTGGCGCCTTAGACCAGCTCGGCCATCTCAACTTAGGCTAAACGACGGTGCCATTGGCTCTCTTCCTCCACCACTTTGTCCTTGTTAAAATGGTCTTTAGTGGAACCAGCTGAGGATCAAACTTTTTTGGCTCGAGAAAGAATCTCTCATTCATGCTGCCAATGAGAAGAGACAAATATTACTAACTGATTGGCAAAGTTTGCTCGGAGGCTCTACTTACTTGCCAGTTTTTTGGCACTATGAAGCCCTCCATCTCAAAATTTATATGTGCCATGTGTAAGCTTCCATTGACAGCAAGAAACGATCGCATGGATTCTTGATGACATTCCAAGTGTATTTCATTTACTTGATATCACTTCACTTGATTGCTTTATCATTTTATTTTCTTGATGCTATTGCCTGGTTCTTTGGACATAAAGTTTTAGAGACCATCCCAAAAGGTTGTTATTGTATTGCATATTGCCAATTTCAAATTTGTTTTTTGATTTAAAACATCTCACAATGTTATTCTAAAATCTCACAATCAAACTCATTGATTGCCAACCGACCCTATTTCCCTCTCAGGTTAGTTTAGGGCTTACATGTGTCACTTTGATTAATCACTAAGTGCAATCATAGTGATTGATAATTAAATAATAGAGTGCAAAATATTAATTTATTATATTTTTATACTTCTTTTTGTTTCAATTGTAAGTCAAACTGTTGCTACCTCATATTAGTTCAACTTGGAAAAGCTCTTTGTACCTTGGCGGGGTTCTGAACAATGCATTTGATCAAGAACGCCAAGGAGCTGCTGCTTGTCGCATCGAGTAGCACGGACAAGAGATGATCTCCCTGTTGTGGTACCTGTAGTGCTGCCTGAGTTATGTCTCCAACCAGATCTCGCATCGTTTCTCAGCTGATAAGCTGAAGACGAAATCTATGACGATAGAAAAGAGAGCTTGTTTCAACACGTCATAGGCCTTGATTCTGCTCTCACCAGTCCAGCTCTTTCAACGTGCTTTTGGATCAGATCACTCGTTTTCCTGACGTGTCTCTGTACCCCTTCAGGCCCCAGAAACGCCTTGAGAATGTGTCTAAAACTCTTGGCTTTGTCCTCGTCCATGTAAAGACCCGAGCTATCGTTTGTTATGGTGGCAGAAAAAAAAATTGAGTCAATTGTTGGAAACTCAACCTGAATATGTACTTCCGCTCACGCAACTAAAAAAATTCCGAAGGGTCTTTTCTCTGCAACGCATGCAACAGCTGGACCAATGAATGGAAGCCTGGAGGGAGAACACAAGCTCAACGCAAGATCTTGGTTGTTCTAGAAGTAAAATAGACATGGCACCGAGTCCCAATGATATATGCAAGTCCGCCTGGGATGAAGACAGTATACACATGTCAAACTCTACGTGCGAAAAAACAAGAACGAACCTTCGGGAGAGAAAACCGAAGACCGCTTGTTCCTATATGGCTGGTAAACCAAGTACAGGCAAGCTTTTTAACTTTTGAATCTCCCCGTTCCATTTCAACGATGGTACTGCAATACTCACTCAGTGTTCACATCCACGGTCCATACATGAAGCCACCCTGCAGAACAGCGTTCATCTTCCCCACAGATACCTTGCCCTTCAGCTCGACTCTGTTGGAATCGACTGTCCGGATCTGATCAGGCACGAAGCAAACGCTGCCAAGCCGTTGCTCTCCAGTCAGCAGCTTCATCATATATGTGTCCGAAAGCCGGGGACCATGACACCGTCATTCAATCTCATCTGAAAGAAGAGATTTCAGCGAGGTCACATCCGCTGCCAGCAATCTATCGTAGAATTGGGCCACCAAGTCCTGTATGCCAAAGCAGAGAATGTTAGGCGGTTAAAAGGCAAAACGGAAATACGCTTGCAGTGTAATCCTTCAGATACTGTACAGCTTATCCCTCAATAGCACCCCAACATCGAAAGAAACGAACTCGTCCACGCCAGAAACATTGGCATCAATGGATCTGAAGAGCAACTTTGAGAGCACTATTTAACGTAAACGTGGCTTACAAGCTGACGTGTTGATTCCAGAAAGCGGTCGAAGCCAGCGAGTAATACAGTATTGCGCAAGAACTCCATGGGGTTCGTTCTTCCAATCTATGAGAATGAAATGATAAAGATATTGCAACTTCAACTCACTCTAAGATTTTTCAGATGCATTTGAATGAGTCCTTGGACATTCATAACCGCTTGGCTGATCAAGTGTTCTGCCAGGTAAATACGAGGTGTCTATTGTCCGTATTTACTGAATGATAGTAAGCATTTGCAGGTTTATCAGCTATAGACGTACAAAGGTCAAGATCCAGCTTCGAGTAGGCTGCAGCGATTTTTAAGTGAAATCAATATTCAAGGAGGAACTTCTACAAGTCGCTCGTGTAAAAGCTGCCCGTGAACTTGAAGTTTCAGTGAGATCTGCGTTCGACAACATTAGACAGAGCAAAGAACATAATCCAGTACGTCACGTTCATGCTGTTCTATTCCATCCGCAATTTCGGCAAGCCCTTTGGATGTAACAGTTGATGAAATGTGAAGCCCCCTGGCAACTTGAAAGAGACCTGTATTGCCAGGCGACTTCAATGTCACAAAATGGCTAGAAAATTGTTCTATCTAGAGCTACCCGAAGTGATTTCTCGACTGTCCTCCTCCGTTGTGAAAGCCTCCATAGCAATCGCTGCTGACTGCGAAAAAATCGTTCAATAGTGACATATATCAAGAAACTCAGTTACGAGATGGCGGATTGATTTGGTAAAGACTTTCCATCCAGCAAGTCTCGAACGAACTCTTCGGGACTTGTACTCCCATGCTATGCAGCAAAATCAAGTGAAGATCATCGAGATAGAACGTCACTCACTTTCAAGCCTTGATAAGAGGTTCGAATCGAGCTTTGGTACTAGATGGATCAGGCTTGAAGTCCATGTCTATTTCAACGTAAACTAGTTAGTTTTCTCAATTAACATCAACTCACAGCCAGGCCCGTGTTGGCTGCAATGTAGCGCCAAATATTTCGAAGCCTTTTACCACAGTTTTTGATAAATTTGTCCGTGATTCCGAGTAATCTAGTGACACGTAAAGTCAGCAAAAGTAAAAACGTCTTTCAGCTAATCGTCAGCATCGTGAGGCAAACGACGGCGTCTTTTGCCACGATCGAACGAAACTGGGACTACAAAGGCCGACAATATTGCAGCAAAAGAGAGATCGATATTTGGAGAAATACCTCTCTCGTCCCGTCGCAAACACTCGCAGGGAAACAATAGAGTTACTTTGGATCATCACTCTCTTAGCGTTAGAAACACAAGATAACGAAGAAAACAGCAATCTAGGCGCGTCTCAATGCTTCCTCTTTCTAGTAAATTTCCACACTACCTCTCTCTTCCGGTGTTAGCAAGATGCTGCTGTTCGTCATGAGGTCGATCGAATCATTGACGCGCGGGAGATTAACTTTTGGAGGTGCTAGCACCTCTTTCTTCCTGTCCCATGCATCCGCATTGAAAGATTCGTGTGCCTGATCAATCCCACAGTGTTAGGAGCCACAAAATATCGATGAATCGAGGATTTCCCGGAAAAAGCGGGTTTCTTCTCCAAATATCTGTCACCTTTGTTTTTGGATCCCTGAAAGCTAAGATATTATCTAAATCATGATGCCAGCAAAAGACCGAGTTATATTCATCTGACGACTCAATTGAAATCCGGTCAGGAAATGTCTCCAGAGATATTTCTTCGAGTCTCTTATGGATCATAGTGATAAGTTATAGGTCCCTTTTATGGCACAGTGTGTGTCACACTGCTAAGAGGGAATCGACTAAGAGCGTGCTCCAACAGGATGAATATGACATACTGAGTGGAGTGATCGCTTACATTTTTCTACATATATATGTCTAATGCACAAATTTCATGGTCACGGGCAAATTTTACACGAGCCACTGGTGCTTGGAGTTTGCTGCAGAGCTCAAAATGCTTACTCCCATTCAGAGGGAAACGCGAAATCTTATAACAACGGACGATCTGGCACAACTTTTGATCAACCAAACGCCTCGTTTGAAGGATCTAAAGGTGAGCAGTAGCAAGTAGCGCTATCTTCTGAAGTTGTTGCCTTTTATTTCCACAGAGTGACGAAGTGCACACCAAGGAGTTTCTGGACGACGTCGTACTAAGTATTGCTGTGGAATCGACACGCCAGCTCGTAAGCCACATGTTCATTTTCCATATCGTCCGCAAAATCTCCTCTTTAGGCAGAACTATCTCTAAATGCCAGTGTTTCCGGCGGAGACGAGTTCGTTCCTTCAGGTGTCTATGTCGCCGTTGGAGCTGAGGCTCGAGACAAACTCAAAAATTATACTGCAAGCGTAAAGCTTTTCACAAAATTTCTTTCCATCTGTGAAAAACCTTCTTTTTGGCATACAGGTCGACTTGGTGGTCCAATTCTATGACAGATTGTTGGCGGCGGATGCGATCACACTCAAGTCTCTTGTTTCAGACGAGATTGAATGGCGGTTTCATGGTCCTCGGCTTTCAAACAAGTACATGATGAAGCTGCTGACTGGAGAAAAGCGGATAGGCAGCGTTTCTTTCGTGCCGGATCACATCCACAGGATTGATTCAACCAGAGCCGCAGCTCAAGGGCAAGGTACTGACAAGGAAGCAAGGAGTGAGCTGACTTGGAAGCTTTACGTGCAGGCTGGCTTCATGTCTGGACCGTGAATATTGACACTGGCAAACTCACACACCTAAGTGAGTATTGCAATACCATCATTGAATTTGGACGTGGGGATTCGACTTTAGTTCTCGGTCAGAGTTCGGACGTGGAGAAAAGTTTTCCTGTGCTTGTCATACCAACAATGTATAAGGAACCGCAGAAACTTACTGCAGTGAGCATTGCTTTTGGTTTTTTCGCGTTCTCGGCGCATTAGATTCCCTTTCTTCCTTTCTTCATGCACATAGGGTTTGACAGTGGAATTAGTTTACTTTCCTATTTCCAGAGCATAGAAACAAAATGGAAGTTCGAACTAAGTATTCATACGTTCAAACGAGAATTTCAGCTTCTCAAGTGGCGTTCTGGATGCAAAAAAACTTTGCCAAATTAAATCCTTGTTTCTGATAGAGAGCAAATGGGGCGATATTGTCCAGTAATTGTTTCCTTGCTGCCAGGTGAAGCTGTGGAAAGATTGTCCAGCTCCAAGCTCCAAGAATTTGTCTTCCTACTTTTGAGACTAGAAAGAAAGGAAAATAACAAACATACCTGACTCAAATTTCTACTTCCTTAGAGAATCTTTAACTTTGACTTTTTCTTCGGTCATTGATAGTTCCAACTTCAAAGTTCTCATTTGAATACTTGCTACCCACCAAGATCTGGATCACAAATAGTCCATGAACCCTAAATGGTGAAGGGCCTTTTGGGAGGCTACGAATTGCTTTTGCTGATCATAGTGGTGCAGAAGAAGAATGCCAAACTGTGGGTTAACTATAGAAAACTAAATGATATTACTTGGTTCCCCATTCTGTTTACCGATGCAGTCACATGCAACGAACTCTATAGCTTTATCGACGGCTTTAGCTGCTACAACCAGATACACGTACGATAGAGAAAAGACTGCATTTGTTACAGAGTAGGGCTGCTTTATTTTCTTTGTCATGCCATTCAGGTTGACCAACACACCGGCTACTTTTTATCAAGTGGTGACTATAGCTTTCAGGCTTCTTCTTCACAAGAGAGTGTAAGTTTTCCTCTGACTTTTTGACTTTTGGAAGTTACCAGTGTAGTGTTTCCGCGATGCTGGAAGTTTGGTATTTCAAAAAATACAATTTCAAGATGCACGCTTCTTGGTAGGGTAGTCTCAGCTGAAGCCTTGGCTATAAATCAAGGTTCTGAAAAAGCTAAGGCCCCCAAGAACTGTGAAAGAGCTTCAAGCTTTTCTGGGCCACATTGGGTATCATTGATGTTTTATTTAGCACTATGCCAATGTAGCTTCTCCCTTGACAATCTTGTTAAGGAAGGATGCTCCTTTCCTAAATGCCAAGTTTCTTTTGATTAGCTTTGACAATTGCGCCTATTTTGAAGCCACTTGGCTAATTCCATATTCATATGGACGTGTCAGCTCTTTGCCAGCCACATGATGGCTGGGATCACCCAATTTGCTGGTAGTTGTCTAGAGCCGAAAGGAATTATATAGCAACTGAGAGGGCTGACTTTTGCCATGAGCAAATATTGCTATTACTTCTGATTTGTGTTTTACCTATGCTCAAGTATCTCATCAATAAGCTAAAGGATTACTTGCTGGCTTCTTCTCCTCCAACAATTTGAGTTTGAGATCATGCTTAAGCCATGAAAATCTCACTTGTTGCCCGAGCATTTGTCGAGACTACCTGGAGAGTCAGAGCAGGAAGGGGTCAAGGATGAGTTGCTAGATGCAGCTCTCTTTGGAGGCTAATTGAGAAATTCCAGAGGGAGGGAGCTCATGCTGAGGTTGCTCCAGAGTGGTACTAGGGAATTTCAGAGTTTCTAGCAGTTGGTGAATTTTCCCAGACATGATGAGGTGGCATAGAAGCAGCTCTTGTACCAATCCCATGCTTTTACTTTGATTGCGGGCCAACTTTACAAGAAGGGCTGAGATGAAGTGTTGCAGCACTATATTTTACCACAAGAATTCAAGCAGTCTTGTTATGATTCTTCTTCAAGATGGATATTGGTAGCCAACTCTCCAGTAGAACATAGCGAAGTTTGTAAGAAGCTGCGTTCCTTAGAAGTGTATTGGATGGCCCACTCATTAGGATGCAATGCTTTTGATTCCAACTCTTCCTTTTGAGAAGTGGGGCATTGAATTTATGGGACTGTTCAAGCCAACACGAATAAGAGGAATTAGTATAGACTATTGACCAAGTGGGTGGATGGATATAACAGAGAAGGTTGCTGAGTTCTTCTAGAAGAACATCATCACATGTTTTGGCTGTCCACTGGAGCTCGTCACTGATTGGGGCACGCATTTTATAAATGCAAATATAATATATAACTGCTCTTACTGTCCAAGTATGGAATTTCCCATCGTTGTTCCACACCATACCATCCGAGAGCGAATGGGCAAGTTGAGTGCTCTCTGTGATACCATGGCAAAGCTGTGGAATGTTAGTGCTAGTGACTGGGACTTGAAGCTCCTATGCTCTATGGGTGGTTTACAAGGTACCAACTCGGTTCTCACTGTTTCAGCTTGTCTATGGACAAGAAGCAATTCTTCCTCTTGAGCTCGAAATTCCCTCACTGCATACAGAAATCAAGCATTGGGATGGAGCTATGAAGAAAAGGTTGAAGGACTTTGATAAGCTCGATGAAACTTGCTCTCCTTCCAAGCTGGTGCAGCCTTCTAGTGTCAAAAGAAGAAGTGGTATGATTGGCATTTGCGCAGCAAGACTTTTAGTGGGTTGATCCCTATCGAGTGAAGACAGTGAATATGAACAGCTCGGTCAAGCTTGAGGATTTTAGTGGCTGGCGAATGAAGCTCACTTATCTTGTTATCACATTCCTCCATCAAACATTCCACCATTACCTGGATGACAGCACTCCAGGGACGAAGAGCACTAGTCACCGAAATCATGTTGAGTGCCAGATGCAAGCTCAAGAATAAAATGGAAAGTCAGAATGTTTTGGTTTCCTTTTTTCTGGAGTAGGGGATTAAAGGGAATCTTTGGCTGGGGTGGGGGGATTCCTTGTTTGATGGCACTAGTGTGTGGAGTGTAGGTTGGTAGTGTAGCATCAGCTAAGGACAATTGAGGAGCATATCTCAGCAAAGATTTCTCAAGATCAATAAATCTACATGAGTTGTCCAACTTGCAAGTAGCCCTAGATGCAAATGCTGGCAGAGGTGGTGGTTGGCTGTCACAAGCCGCAAAGAGCACAAGCTACATGGAGATCACTACTACCTAGCCTCCTCTTGTACCACCTCTACCTGAGCCTAGATGTCACTATCCTCTGTGTTCTGGAGGGTCTATCATTCCAGCAATAATGCCACCACAAGGTCTTATGATTTAGCCATACGAAGCAAATGTCAAAAACAGTGTGTGTAGAAAAAGATGTGTGTTTCCTTTACAACCACAAGTTGCTTGCTTTGCTAGATGTTGGCATCTAGAAACAGTTCTTATGGTATATATACATGATGACAACATGTTCTGCATTGTGGCCAAGCCCAGTGCATGGACTAAGGTTTCACACAAAGAACCCAATAGCAAAACCTTGACTCTAGACAATGCAAAAATATCATTAATTTGCAATTTCTCTGTGCCATCAGTCTATGTAGACAAGCCTACTGGAAATTCACATATTTGTTGCAAGGATCAAATTTGTGTTCTGTCTGCAAAATCAATTTAAGTAGAACTATGAGCCTAGGATCTCAATGGTGTGAAAGAATGACATAAACTAACCAAAACTACCCCTTAATTGCCTAGCTTAGGTGTGAGGTATATATGTGATATATAATATTTTAAAAGGAAAATTTTAAAATCGAGGTTTATGAATATAATATTCTAAAGAAATATTATAGAAACTTCTTGCAAACCATTCTAGAATAATTTCCTGCAGTTTACTTTGATGTAAAGAATATTTATTAATTCTTAAAATCATTTGTACCTAATTTTTATTAAATATTTGAAACTTGAAAGTACAAAAGTGTGAATGCATGGAATATGGAAATAGAATACAAAAATGTGCATATAAATTAACCTAAAAACCTTAGTTTATAAATAGAAAGAGAGTGGTCTAGATTGAAATTAATTTAATGGTTATTAAAATCCCACTACACTAATATTAGTATATAACATTATAATTGTACACTTGAACCTCACATCATTCCCATCTCTTGGAAGGATGAAAGATAGTCAATGTTCTTTGGTGGATAAGCTAAAATTTAAAGAAATATCAAAAGGAGGCATTGGTGAATCTATAGGTGATGTTAATTGTTCAAGATCCTTTTGTACAAAACATTTTAGCCATTATATATGCACAATTTCTAGAGGATCCATTTGTTAGACATCATGCTAAACCTCATAAATTTCAAGTCTAACTTACCACAAACATCTAATACAATCCCTTCCATTGAGGAAGGAGTTCTTTAGATAAATCATATACTGTAAGATTGAGAAAATAAATTAATACTAAGTCATCCCCTTTGAATTCCACAGATAAAGAATGATGGGAGTTATAACATTATTGTTGTTCCATTTGTATATGGCCTAGGTGTTTGGTAAACTCTACTTGGAAGAATGTTCATAAAATATTGATCCCAAGATATAGCATCAGCAACTTGTGGCAGTCGCAAAAGTAAATTCAACTTTGTTGGTAGTATTGGATCATAATCATATAACAATTTATATGGTGAAGCACTAATAGAACTTTACACCCATATAAAAGAGATAGCAAATAACCATTATAATCTGAATATTGAAAGTTTATGTATTTTATGATCATCCTTTGAAATTACAAATGAGCCATTCCACCAAACCATATAACTATGGATGATAATCACTTGGGAAAGTGTGGTGTATTCCAAACCAAAATGTTAAAATATGAAATGTCTTAGCTATAAATGTGGGACTATTATCTAAAAGAATTTGCTCTAGACAGAAATGCTAAAACATTATTTAATTGAGGAGGAAGTATTTAATAGCAATAGCAAATGCACTATCAAGAGCACCAACTTCCACCTAACAAATTAATTAATCAGAAGTAATAATGACATATTCATTGCTAGTAATCAGCCATAAAAAAAGCCCTATCAAATCAAACGTCACAAACTCAAACGAATATGAAATTATAATTGACTCCAATCATCCTTTCATAGTAAGAATGGGAATATATGAGTTTGGCACCAAACGTGACTACGTATATATCAGATAACATCATATTGCATTTCTAACTAATAGAAAG